AGACAGCTAACATTTTTAAATCGATTTTTTTGGGGGGGGTGGGGAAGGATATCTTGGGTCAAAGATAAAACTACAAAAGAGCCATTTGAGATGGAGGACAGGAATTCCCAGGTTCAAAAGGCCTTTCAGATCACATCTTTGTGACAAGTCCTTTTAAAGTATGTCATTAAAAAAAAAAAAATAAGGGTAGAGTGACTAGACTGTCATAGAACATAAAACTTTGGGAAGGACTTTGACATTACTTCTACCTCTCAAACCCCCACACCTACAGCCCTGTCCCCCATACCTAATATAATTAAGGCAGGACCCAGTCAGTCTTTGGGCAGGAAAGATGGATCCCCATAGGGCCACACATGAAGCTATTACCAGCCATTACTGCTTGGTCAATTGGTTTATTGCATATTCTTTGGGACACTCAAGAACCGAACCATGTTTTGATTGGGTGCAGCGTTGGGGGCTGGAAGCATGAAGCACCTCCTAGAAAGGGAGGTGCTTTGGAAACAATGCTTTCTCAAGAGGACTAGCCTTGACCCTAATGAACTAAGTAGCAAGTCAGAACTTTATTGCTTTCAGCCAAAGAACACTGCCAAACTTTCAGAACAAAGGGCAAGTACAAGGCATGCTTCTGAAAAAGTTGTGAGATTCAAGAGGGACAAAATGATATTTTCTGAAAATAAAATATGCAATGGTGTCCAGCTGGTCTTTTGACAATGATGATCAGAACAATACACTACTGTCTCAAATAGATCAGAATCTGAAGTACCTGTGTGTTCTCCCAAAGTATGGGTAAGACCAAAAGAAGGAAAAAGTCCTTTCACTCATTTATTCAAGATATGTTCTAGATTTCTTATTTGATAAATTATATGAATACCTACCTATATTGGAAAAAAATGTAACCAATGTTTTTCAAAAATTTTCAGGAACATTTAAGAAAACTTCCCTTTCCCTCTACTTTCCTGTACATACTTAAGGGCACATTAAAAGCAGTAGAATGAGACATTCTCTAGATGACAAGTGCCAGGAATCATCTGTTGAACTGAGGGGATTTTATTTATTGAACTTCGTATTATCAAGGATATA